ATAATGCTATTTTTTATATTGTGGTGGCAATAGATATATATTATATTTGGTTTATATGTGTAAATATATATTTAATATTTTTAATGCCTGTAAATAACATTTGCATGGTCATTTGAATAGTAGCTGCTACACCAAAAAAGTGTGAGCACCCTGCTTTATAGCAAATACAGAAGGTCCCTGATTCAGTTCTGTGCGAACTACTTGGCCTGTTTCAATGCTGTACGCCGGAATGGATGGATGGAGCAAATCTAATCACCTGCAGCTCAACATAGACTTTTGGAAATACAAACAAAAACTCCAGTTCCAGTACGACCAGTTCTTATCAAGGGTCAGGAGATGGAGGTCATGGAGACCCATAAATACCTTGGTCTGTGGTTGCACAACAAGTTGGACAGGGCAGACACACAGTAGGCAGCTGTACACGAAGGCCCAGAGTAGACTGTGCTTCCTGCAGAGGCTCAGGTCTTTTAACGTCTGCAACAAGCTCCTGAAAATGTTTTACCAGTCTGTAGTTGCCAGTGTTATTTCATACATTGTGGTGTGCTGGAGGAGCAACCTGGACCCTCTGGTGACAGCGGCAGAGAAGAGAACACTTGGCAAACTGCTGGCCATCTTGGACAATGCCACTCATCCTATGTACACTGTCATCACCAATCAGAGGAGTCTGTTCAGTGACAGGCTCCTCCTTCCAATGAGCAGGACCAATAGACTTAAAAACTCCTTTGTCCATCGGGCAATTAAACTGCTTAACTCTTCACTGGGTGGAAGGAGGGCGAACAAACGACTGGTGGATAGGGGAGGAAGTGCAATAACCCAACAATAATTTCAATGCAATAACCAGAATCTTAATTTGCATTACTATTATATTTCAATCTTCAATTGTCCCTTTTTTCAGGGGTTGGCAAAGCGAATCATTGATTTCCATATTGCCCTGTTCACGGCATCTTCTACTCTGACTCCAACTATCTGCATGTCCTCCGTTACTGCATCCATATATCTACAAATGTATGTACATATATGCATATTTATAACTTATATACTGTGTATAAATATATTACTAATATCTATACTATATAATATTATACGTATATGTATAGTAGCTCTTAGTAATAATGGTTGTATAAATCTGGTCGACATCATACACTAATATATCTGCTGGAACTGCCTATATGCTGTAGCTAACTGTTCATCTAATTTAATTACTCTTATTAATTAATTAAATTATTAATTAAACTACTTATACTGTTCATATATTTAAACTATTATATACCAGTTCAAGGTTTATAATATATATTGAATATATATATCATTGTTATATATATATATGTATGTGGATATACATATGTAACAATGGTTAACAATGGTATAATTGAAATATAACAATAAATAATAATTGAGAATGCCATAAACAACACCATACATGGCTACAATAATGATCTACTAGTCTACTAATACTACTAACACTATCTATGTACTTCTACTAACCTACTAACTTACTAACATCTACTGTTCAGGTTTCCCATTTTTAAGTGTGCTGCTACTCATGTATGCATTTTGTTGTATTTCACCTAGTTTTGTGTTTTTACTGTTGTTTCGGTGTTGTATTGCTGCTGGAGCCTAAATTCCCCGAAGGGAACTCCCGAGGGATTAATAAAGTGCTATCTATCCATCTAGATATATATTTAATATTTCCCATGTTTGTAGATCATTTTAGCTATTAATAAAGTGCTATCTATCTATCTAGATATATATTTAATATTTTCCATGTTTGTAGCATTTTAGCCTGACCAATTGAATAGTATCTCCTAAGCCGAACAAACCCCAAATACTTTATAAAATGTAGTGGTGACACAAAGTCCCTTGTCTGGGCAATTTTTAAGACAAAGACAAAAACATAGTTCCAATCCCAAACATTAAAGATGTAACAATCAATTTAAACGTAAAAGACGATAAACATATAATAGGCAAATACAAGCAGAAGCAATCATTCAAATGAAAGTGCCTTGGAGGTGCATGTGCACTTGATTGAATCTGGTTTCTCTATTGCTAGCTCATCTGTTGCGGCAATAACAGAAACAGTGTTTTACTTGATTAGCCACACTGCCTTGCATAGACTAAACATAATGGAAGCAGATGCAGTCGGTTTATTTCAACTGGGAACGATTATTAATATGAACAAAGGGGGATGCGGTGGTGGAAGAAGAGCAAATACGCTTTTCTACTCATACCTTGAGGGTATTTGTTTCTTTTACTGCTGCAAGAGGCAGACACGGGGAACACGCAAGTCAGAGAGGTGGAGAGAGAAGGCGAGACAGAGAGAATATGTGAAAAGTGAATTACGTGGACTTGAGGAATGAGTAGAAAATCAAAAGAAGGGGTGTGTGTAGGTCTTTGTCCTGCCGCTGCTGTTGCAGGGGTGACTCCTCTGCTTCGGAATCGGCTGGCTGAATTGCAGTGACCTCGAGCAATTTGTGAACAAATAAGATTGCCTTTGTGTGTGCATTATTTTCTGTTGACATTTGCTAAGCACAAGAGCTCCTGGCCATGGGAGATAGATGAGGGCCCTAAAATGCCTCCGTGTCTGCCAGGGCCTTTCATGTTGTCTTGAGAGCAGTGAGTATGCTATGTGTATTCGTGAGTGTGTTTTTCGTTTGAGCCTGTGTGTATGTGTGTAGAGAAGGGGGAGCAGACCGAGAAAAGAGAAAACACAATGTGATTGCTGTGCACTAAGACCCCGGCAGAGTTTTGTTTCTGACAGCCGAAGATAAAGGTTATGTACTTTTTCTTCACTGTTGCCGTTTTCTATCAGCGTAGAAATAACACAGTTATCTTTGGAGGTGACACTTCTGAATGCTTCCTTTAAATGACAAGTTAAACACTCTCCTAAAACAGATGGAACTCTTGATTAAAGGTTGTAATAATACAGATTTTTTGCTCGAGATCTATGATAATATTTGTCATAAATAGTCTTTGTCCCATTGTTTGATTATGCATTTACATATTACTGCGATTAAGTGCTTGTGTCTGTGTTGGCTTGAAGGAACCGTGCTGAAGGTCACAACTCAAGATGTTTTTTATACTCTACTTCTAGAATTGACTTTTCTTGTCATTTTTCTCCTAACAATAACTATTAACACCCTAGATTGGGATAAAAACTAGTCTTAATTAACGGGATATTGGCCCATTGTTGTTGTTTTTTTCTTTGTTAACAACTAGATAAGACATCTGAATAATGATATGCTTTGACTTATTTAACACCTGAACTGTATCAGATCAGTCTTAAAGAGCATGGAAACAATTTGTATTCTAAAGCCAGCCTTGTATCATATTTAACACCTGAACTGTATCAGATCACTAGAACCTGTCTTAAAGAGCATGGAAACAATTAGTATTCTAAAGCCAGCCTTCTATCGGCTTCTTATTTTCTCGACTCGAGAAATAATTAGGGATGACCGATATTAACTTTTTGCCAATATCAGATATGCCAATATTGTCCAAACACCGATTCCGATGTCAACCAATACCTATATATGCAGCAGTTTGCGTCACAACGTGTGTCACAGTGACAATAATTCACTTTCACTTCAAAACTGTCAGGTCACATCGTCCAACCGAAATCCAAGCATTGCGTTATCTGATTTTCGTTATCAATCTATCTTTAACGATTCTTACCAATATTACATAATTATGCTAATATCGGTTGAATACCATGCCTGTGTTTTTAATAGCCACCCATATTAACCTCACAATTTGCAGACCACCCGGGCACCACCCCCCACCCCCCTTTTATCCACAAATTTTAAGACTCGCTATCACTTGTGCAGCCTAAATACGATCATATTATAATAACTGACGATTTTAACTTACTTATAACACAGTTTTTAAACCTTTTAGTTTCAAACAACACGCCAGAACGTCCCATTTCACTAAATCGTTGCAGACAATAAGAACGAGTCCTTTTCTCCAAATGTGTAGTACAGTTGGCCCGCCAGTATATATATACTGTATGTATACTGGCAGAATTTGTAGTATTAGTGATGTTATATGTTATAGAACATATATTTTATTTTTATTTTTTTTTGTTCTTGGCCTGTGAAAAAAAGATTTACATTAAAATGACAACAGATAAAGAGATATAATAAGAAGGAAATACCTAAATATAAATAATAAAATAGGTTTGGCACCCCTGCTATACACAAACATTTGATAAATTCTTGTATCATTACAAAGGAGGGGGTCAACACACAACGTAAAACAGGATTATGTCACAATGACCTCAATGTAGAGTTCTGTAAAGCCGCTCAACATGTACTTGGCCACAAATCTATCCCGATTTTTTTTTAGATCATTTAAATTCCTAGCCTGTTGTTGTAATTTGAGTATAAGAAATACACAAAGAAAACTATATGATTTTTTGGGGGGGGGGGATCGCTGGATCACTGATATGGCCCTGCATCAAAATAAGGATGGTGGGAGTGGCCACCCGCTCATTTAAGTTTCTAGAGAAGCATTCAAAAGATGAATATTTCCATTTACAGCATTGTCATTAGTGGGTCTGACCTTTAAGTAAGCTCCGTGTTTATTGATCTTCCTGATGCTGGCCTTTCAGTGTGTGGATTGTTCACCACCAGCACCACAACAACAGATTGAACAATAACACGGCTGTTCATCTAAAGAGCAAGAACAGGTTGATAGTCGTTCTGCTGGTAGCACCGCAGGAACAAGTGATGATCGGTCCAAATGTGGGGCATCAGGATTTTCACGTACACTCATGTAGCTCAAAGTGCTTTAACAGTGCTTCAACAGTTTAACAAAGAAGAAGACAGGGTGGTCCTCAGTTTATGATGTTCTCAGCCTCAGCAATTCATGCATAACATTGCCTTCTCCCGTAAAGAAAGTCATGTACCATCATTCCAATGTATGGCGTTAAAACATTTTCATTTTTAATTGATAACTAGTGGAAACAAACCAAAACGACTTACAGAGAAGGCTCAAGCATGTGGTTCCTCTGGGAATCCAACCCAGGACTCTATGCTCTCTGCTTTCTAGGCAGGCGTGCTAACCGCTACACTATGGAACCACCACATTTGCCGGTTGTACGACAATCCATACGTTGGATTGCACTACATTTGCGTTCTTTTGTTTGTGTTATGGATTTTTTTTTCGGTAACTTTTGGAGAAACATTTGTTTGTCTTGGTCACGTAATACAGCCCCCAATAGAATTTGCTATCGTAGGAAGGGGGAAGGCCCCTGAATGAGGCAGAAAATAAATGTGAAACCTCTCAAAAAAGAAGCATTTACTAAAATAATTATTTATCAAAAAAAGGTGTGTAATTTTTACGAACATTATTTTCATGTTACTTTGATCTTTTTATTGCACTTATTTGCCATAACCCGAAGCTTGATCCATGAAAATATAGGCTTTTGGAAAACTTGTCAATGACACACGAAATGGATGTGTATTTTTGTTAAGTGCAGAGATGTCACTGTGAAGAGAGACTGAAAGGATCCTAAGCCTTCCTGTATACACACTCAGAAACACTTGAAAAATCTCTCCTCATCTCTCCTCATTACTTTTAGCCTATATCTTAAAGTTTACAGGTATTAATAAGCTCAGAAGCAGCAGGCAGTGGATTAAAGGTACGAAGAAAAGGCAAGCAACCACAGTCTCATTTTCCTCTTCAATAAATACAAACATGGGCTTTATGTGTAGCTCAGTGGGATGTAGACACAGGCTGCCAGCAGGCTTATTTGAAGAGGGTGACGTGCAATGATCTAGTTCCTCTCTCCAGGTCTGTCTAATTACTATCTTGATCACCAGCCTGACCTTTCACATTCATGCCGGACAAAAGAAAGCAGGGGTACCTTGACATGGTAGGATAATAAGAGGAAGAAGGGGTGGAAAGATGTAAAAGGAAGTGTGAAAATACATGGAGGAGGAATGAAACCATAAAAGCTTTTAGTAATAGTTATATTAATGATAATGGATTTAATTACAGGGCATTTTTCTATTATTTAATGTATTGAAATGACACCCGCCCCTTTTTATTTTATTTTTTACAGCTACAGATATTATGCTTGTGAGTACACATAGGACACATAGGACATGGCATTTGCCTTAAATTAATTGACCCATGTTTTAACTGTCATAAATAGGCTGGCTGGATCCGATACTCAGGATTGGTAACGGTCCAAATTGGTCAAAATTTCAGAATTGAACATCGGAAAAATCAAGGATAGTCCGTAGGGTTCGATGCCTAAGCCCAAATTCTCAGCTTTGCATGACATTCTGTAAAAAGAGACACTCACTTTAGTAACAGCAGCCCGCAGCATGTTGGAGAAGAAAAAGAAGGTATGGGACTGATATTGGTAACCACAGATACTCCAGTATTGGACATGAAATAGGTGTATCGATACATCCTTAGTCGTGGAAACATGTCTATTCTTTCACACCTAGAGTATATATTTGCTGTACTCCCCACCACCAGTTAAAACTGAAGAAGCCTCTTGGATGGTGAAACGTCTTCTTTTAGAAAATCCACGTCCAGTTGCCTAACAGAACTTTTCAAACTACATCCTTAGTCATGAATAAGCTCAAAATTGCTATTGCCTTTATTAAAAGTGGAGGTCATCAAAGACCATTGGACCTACCTTCAGGTCAAATCAGCACAAATATTTAACCTTTTAAACATTTATGTAATGTGAAAATGATCAAAATTTTCCTGGTATATCATAAAACTATAGTTCGAAATACTAGTCTAAAACTTTTAAGTGCCTCTTTATTGTTTCAGAGTTATGCCGAATGGCAAGTTTTCCTAATATGCAATTTTGCATTCAGGACTTTGTCCCAATATTATCAATACAATGTGAAGAGCTTCTTTGCACTGGTATAATTGGTATGCATCACATTTCCATCTTTGCCAAGTACTTATTCCAAGGGGGGAATGAGTAGCTGGCTCTTTCTGACTTTTTTTCTGTATGTATTTCTCCCCTTCTTTTTGATTCATTTTGCTAGAGCAGATCCAACAGAAGAATTGGTTTGACAGCCTTGTAATGTTCATTAGGCAAACAATGTGTCAAAACTGTACAACTTTTGTTTGAGAAGGAAATGCAACAAACAAATTTCATGTTGAATTTTGGTCAGAGAAGAAGCTGTGAGCCCTTATTTACATTATCGTGGCCGAAGAGTTTGCATCAGGGGAATAGGCTGCTATTGTCACACAAATGGTGCCTCTCTACCATCATGAAACATCTGTTCGCCACTGTATGGTAGAACCCTGTGATTTTACTGTGTGAAACAAAACCTACATGGCGTCCCATTTTCCATGTTTTGAGGGAAACTTCCTTTGTAGTGCGTGACTTACAGTATATATTGGGGGGGGGTGTCTACAAAATCCAAGTACATATTTAGTTTGACACTCCCACTGTTACAGCACACATCAATACTATAACAATCTAAATGATCTATTTCAACACTAGAACTACCAAGGCTTTTTTTTTTATCATCACATGATACATGATGACACAAGATCAGAAATTACTTTATTAATCTCCTGAGGGAAATTGTTGACATTACAAGGCACTCCTGGCCAAAATATCTAAATAGATTAAAAAATATCTAAATAGATTAAAAAATATAAAAGAATGGCAACAGAAGTATTAATTAGGTAGTTGTATACAAAGTATACATGCCACATTGTCCATCATCCATCCATCCATTTTCAGCCGCTTATCCGTTACCGGGTCGCGGGGGCAGCAGTCGCCACCCAAATCACATTGCACCGTACCAACCCCCTAACCCTTCCTGCAGGTGGTGAGCCCACTGGAAGGTACCAACCGCCCTAACCAGGATTCGAACTTGGTCTGGAGGTGAACCCTGGGGTTCTACACCAATGACAGAGACATTGCCTCTGGGCCAAAGCGTCACATGCCATATTGTATTGTTTGATATTAAAATTTCCTGAGCCCCTGCAACAGTCTTAGCTCAGGGTGCTCCTCCAAATTCTGGCCTCAATGCCACTGCCTCCCCCACCCTCCCTCCTCACTCGCTCACTTACTCATTTAAATGAGTTACACACATGCAAAACATGACATCAAAACAAAAGAATGACGCTGAACATGTAGATGGCCATTTACATTCTTCTATAACACCATCTATAATAATATATTATAATTCTACAAAACTGTGTACAATAATATATAGATGGCCAGAGGACATGGAGAAATCAAATTCCACTCCAGGCCCAAGGAAAAAGGAAGATGGCCATTGTGTGCAATTAGCATATATATGGTGTGGTAATTTGTGGAGCATTCAAGAATTGAGTGGGCAGTTTGTGGTCCTCTGATGGTGATCAGGTGTGTTTTGTGTTATTTGGTCACTAACACGTGGGTCCACCCTTGACACACGACAATGACACTTGTCACGTTTAATGTCCTTTATTTACAATTGTGAGGTGCGCCCGGCTCCCTGCTGGGGTCTCTTGCGCTCTCTCGCAATGGCCTGCACGCACTCTCCCTGCTGCAGCTAAGAGCGCTAACCTCTAACCAAGACTTAATTTTGACATGGAATTTTGTTTAAAAGGTCTTTGCAGCCTAAAATCATATAAGGGACGATATTTGAGACATCAAATGAGATATCTTAGCCCAGGCATTCACAGTCCATTATCAGATAGTGGCGTAACTCACCCGGCGTTGCCTCCCTGTCTTGGTGAATGTGTGTTCGCCTTCTGTCATCCAATGCTCCCACGCAGCTTGCAATTTAACTTTGAACGCCCTGTTAACACCAATATTTAGTGGTTGGAATTCTTTGGTCAATCCACAGAATGAGGGCAAGCCCCGAATTAGTTTGCTTCACTTGGGTTTTGAGATCGTTGAGATGGGCGCATGGAGTCGCAGATCAATAGGGACGGAGAGTTGCTGTAAAGGGTAGTGACCTAAGTTGGACACAGGAGGTGTCGTGTTATGTCTTCGCATTCTTTCCGTCATTGGCCTCGGTTGTGGCCCACGACACCAAGCCAATGTGTTAATGTGTTTTCCAGGAAAAAAATTTTGTTACGTTTGCCCACATAGTTTTGGTGGGTCTCAACCAATGACTAGCATGTTTATATTCTGTTAATGGACAGAGCTCACAAGGCAAGTTTCACCAACCGTCTGGCCTTGGCAGAATGGGTCACAGTCAAAACAAGTTTCACAGTCAGTTTCAGTCAGTTTCATAAAATGACATGAATACAAAATGGCGTCTGTGTACAAAATGGCATCATAATACTCATCAGAGGGCACTGTTGTTGTTCGCCTCTCCAGAGTCAGGCGGTTGTCACTATTTTTGCTCTGGATGGTCAACGTATTGATGTTTTGACACTGTTCGGTGCGGAAGTGCGGATGTTATTTTGCAGAGAGAGAGTGTGTTTTGCCTGCATCGATAAAAGGGAGAAATAAAAAGATGTAATTGCAATGCACACAACATTATGGGTGACATATCAGGGTTCAAAAGAGGACAAATTGTTGGTGCACGTCTTGCTGGTGCATCTATGACCAAGACAGCAAGTCTTTGTGATTTATCAAAAGCGACGGTATCCAGGATAATACCACCAAGAAGGAGGAACCACATCTAACAGGAGTAACGGTGGATGCAAGAGGAAGCAGTCTAAAAGGGATGTTCGGGTGCTAACCCAGATTGTATCCAAAAACTGTAAAAAATAATACCACAGCTACCCAACTCACTGCATAGTGGACCTCAACTCTCCTGTTTCCACTAAAACTGTCGGGAGCTACACAAGGTCAAGATACGTGGCCAAACCTTTGGTCACCAGGTGTCTCAGTTTCATTGTCCAACCACTGTATATATATATATATATATAGTATTCTCACCACTATAAGGCATACTTAAAAGTCTTTGGGTTGAAGAGGATGTCACCCAATATTCTCCACCACAGAAATGAGTATTTAATTGTGCATATGTGTGTTTAACCCAATAGTCATACAGTCCTACCTCAGAACTACATCATTTGTTCAATGTCTTATAATTATGTTTCCTCCTGTCTTACCCTCCCTCCACCTGTACCTCTCATTTATGTAGAAGC